CATTTAAATGATAAATGTTATAAATGACATATACCAGTGACGACCCGGGTGAGAAATACAACCCATGCTTTTCGTAAGACCCGACTAACGGGCCCGCTGAATTGGTTGATGCATATCATCGTATCCCAATTGAGTACGTCGATTGACTTGATGTCAATCACTGGACTGTCTGATCCAGACTCGATTATTTACAAACCGCCGTCATATAGGTGGACCATTGCTGAGTGCAAGGTTAGACAACAAACAAACAAATAAAACAAACAATAAATGGCACCCCACTTAAACTAGTCCGGCGCTGCAAGAGAACATGTTCTGAATCAACAGTTTGACGTAGGTGTTGAGAACGAATATCGATACAGTAAACTTCGGTTATAAGAAACTCAAAAGGACCACTCAGTTTAGTTCGTTATAACCGTAGTTCGTTATAAGCGTATATACAACAAATAGCCGGGACTAAAAAATAAGTTCCTTATATCGGTCAGTTCGTTATAAGAATGTTCGTTATAAACGTCGTTTACTGTATTTCAAGGGGAAATTGGTCTCATCAACCTATGCGGGGCGTAAGAGACGACCACATGAAGAAGATGGTCAGACGCCGTGAATTGGTTGACTGCGCACCAACTCCCTCGACGGCGGGGATCTTTGCTCACAACATCAATCACTGGATTGTCTGGTTCAGACTCGATTATTTACAGGCCGCCGTCATACAACTGGAATATTACTGAATGCGACGTTAAAAAGAAAACAAACAAACACAAACATCTACCCAAGAGAGAATCAAGTGATTGGACATGTCTCTGGTCCCTTGAAACTCTATACTCCACAGAAGTACAAACATCATTCAGATAACAAGAGTCACGACAACGGCTGTAACCATCAGTGACATGTAGACATTCAAGAAGACAGTTTTAGCTGAAGTATGTGACCGAGGTAGGTTTTGAATATATTTGTTTTAATTTCATTTCAGGTTGTTAGATATATTTATTTTATATAACTAGTTGTTAAAAACACAATTATTATCCTCTTAGTACATCTATACTAAATGTCCCTGAAGGATGCAGCGACCATTGCAGGGTGTTTTCCTGTCCGATGAATTATTGGTATCAACTACTATTTACATTATTTGCCTTTTCGTGTGTATTGTACATGTTATTTACATAATTGAACGTTACAGTATTCACCTGTACTCATGCTGCGACGAATATTATGACTTATTCGATATTTACCGATGGCTTTCCATTTCGGAATATGTGCACTGAACTAGTTTTATATGAAACCACATAATCTTTTCGTATTTTGATATAAAATATCAACGCCAGAGAATAACCATACTCGATTATCCGACGAAACAGATTTTACTTGGAGCAAAGGGCAAACTAGTTTTGAAAATTATACGAAAGGATCAATGAGTGAGTGAGTTTATGTTTAACGCCGCTTTTAACAGTATTCCAGTTATATCACGGCGTGTCAGCTTAATGTGGGAGGAAAGCCCGAAGTGATGCAGGTCTCAGATGATTACCACTTTGGTGAAACCCACGAGCACGGTAAGGTGCTGACAAACCTAGAAACATAATCGGGGCGAACCGGGATTCGAACCCACAATCATAGGTTTCTGGCGTGCCCAAGGGACGCAACTGTGCACAGCGAATCGCGGCGCCTTAGACAAGTGGGCCACCCGTGCCCCCTAAAGGATCAATGAAAATCAGTGATGTCACCAGACATGCAAGAAAAAGGTAAGCATGTCCTGCCCCACTGACAGCACCCTCCATTCATACAGTTGGCATAACATACAATTCGTGCCTGTGGAATTTTGCCAAATGTGACGCGGAATACTCAAGGGCTGATTAAAGTAAGTTCTAAATAGTTTACAAAAAGAGAACATTTTGAAAGCGATGTACTACTTACATTTGCATAGTCAGTCAGTTCTGTTGATAGACTGCCTCCGTGGTCTAGTGGTAGAGCGTCCGCCCGGAGAGCGGAAGGTTCGGGGTTCGATCCCCGGCCGCGTCATACCAAAAGACGTTAAAAGATGGTACTTGTTGTTACCCTGTCTGGCGCTCGGCATTAAGGGGCTAAAATAAGGACTGGTCGGCTCGGAGTCAGTATACTGTGTCTGAGTGGGGTATTCATGTTAAACTGCGGCATGGTATCTCAGTGGGCTAGCACTATAAATCGGCATCAGTCCGGACTAGTACAAGCAGCCACACACACACACGTGCATGCACGTCGCTATATAAGTGCAATAATCTTGGACGCGACGTTAAACCCAATTTCACCTCACCAGTTCTGTTGATGTGTAATTGTTAACTGTGGATGCAGTTTAAGGCTGCTTGTAGGACAGAGCACACAGCGTGCCCCGAAGGCGTGTGTGTATCTGACAAGTTGGTTGTGGGCGTGGGAATTCTCCATTCATTCAGTTAGGCACACTTCTGTATCATTGAGTGTGACCAGCAATGAGGTCAGGGACCTTTTGGGTGAAAGCTCACATTTTGACATCTTGTAATATTTGAAAACTACAGTATCTTAGTACCAAAAAATCCAATTGATAAGCTTCAGTTCATAGTTATTGCAGAGACACATGGCGTTAAACATTTAGACCTATTTTCTGCGAAGTCCCATTTTCAGATTTATGACTGTTTATGTAATAATTGCAGTTTTTAGATATAATGTCTGATTAATGGAGTGAGTGAGTATAGTTTTTACGCCGCTTTTAGCAATATTCCAGCAATATCACGGCGGGGGACACCAGAAATGGGCTTCACACATTGTACCCACGGGAATCGAACCCGGGTCTTCGGCGTGACGAGCGAACGCTTTAACCACTAGGCTACCCGACCGCCCCTCTAATTAATGGAAAGAAGGCATGTGTACTGAAATGCTTTGCAATAATGTTGAGTCACTCAAACGTTGACGAATCCATTGTTCGATTCCGACTATAACATAAGCGGGTATTTTAAATCACTATTAAATCATGTTGATACTAGGTATTCGCGAAAAGGTGAGCGTATCCTGCCCATGCGGTAGCACACATCATAAACACATGCAAAGACGAGTCAATTGTTCCTCTAAAAAAATCGGGAATTTTGTCAAGTCAAATCGGATATGTCCTCGCGTATAGTGAATAAGTTGGGTTAAACGCAGCTTTTAAAAGTATTCCAGTTATATCACGGCGTTACCTAGGAACATAATCAGGGCGAACCGGGATTCGATCCCACAATCATAGGTTTCTGACGTGCCCAAAGGGACGCAACTCTGCAAGCTAATTGCGGCGCCTTAGGCGACTGGGCCAGCTGTACACTCCTCACGTATATCCTCACGTATCCATACGAATTCCGAACTATGACATCTGAATCAAATGTTGTCGACGGTTATTGAATACACCTACTCGCATGTACTTCCCAAAACTTATTCATTACCTCTGTTGTTTTGTTCGATTTATTCAATGTTGGAAAGTTTATCTGTGTAATCATTCTACCCAACCATTGTGATCCGTGAAGATCCGGGGTAGAATAGGTCTTCAGCAACCCATGCTTGCCATAAAAGGCGACAATACTTGTCGTAAGAGGCGACTAACGTGATCGGGTGGACAGGCTCGCTGACTTGGTTTGATGCATGTCATCGTATCCCAATTACTCGGATCGGTGCTCATGATGTCAATCACTGGATTGTCTGGTCCAGACTCGATTATTTACAGACCGCCGTCATATAGCTGGAATATGTCGGAGTGCGGCGTTATACAACAAATAAACAATAAATAAACAAATAAACAAACAAAGTACAATGGATTTTAGCAGAGATTTATTATGACTGTGGAAATGTTTTTTGTCGATTTTATTTCCTGCATAATAGGCACTCGTGAAGGGCAACCTCCCCGTGATGAGTGCTGGGTAACGCTAACAGCTCTTCCCCCGTGTGGACCCGGGGTAGAATGTGTCCCCACACCCCATTGCTGGTCGTAAAATGCCACCGAATTTGGCAACCTGTTTACGTGCGGCGTTAAACAACAAACAAACAAACAAACGAAACATAACCCAACCATTGTACTTTCCTGGGCTACGTACTTTTCTACTGTTAAGTGTATATTCAGTAATGAAATTTTCGTGTTGTAAATTATTCATATGCAATACCAATATGTGCGTTCTGATTAACCATGTGCGTTTTTTGTAAAACAAAGAGGTCCCTGGTCGTGTTTAAAACGGTGCAGTCAGGAAGTCATGATAGTTTTGAGTTTTTGAAGTACGCGTGGCTCTTTTTTCCACATTTTTGCTGATTATTATATAATCCCCTGGGAAATAGGGCATATGTGTAACATTCCCACGGGATTTCCCTAGCGGTCACAAGCTGTGATGAAAGGAATGGGAAAACATGTACTAAATCCCTCAAAAGATTATTTCGGTTTCTTAACCTCAATAACGTTATATTATGTTTTTATCTTATGGAGTGTCCTTTAAATATGGATTGTCTTTAAAATATGGATTGTCTTTACAATATGGATTGAAATCTATGACCATGCTTATGAAAACAATTTTAATTACGAATGTATAACTAAAAAAAATGTCAGACTTGCTTATAACTTCATTCTGAGATTCAACAATCTTTTCTTTAATGAATCCGCTCTTTAAGCTTGGATTGTCCGCAACAAACGTCTTTCATTATTATGAAAGCCAGAAATAGCAAACTATTTGGACAGCTACTTCACAGGCAATCGCCAGCTCACGCGATTTGGATGTACAAGAGAATAAATCAATTGCAAAAACTAAAAAAAACTGTGTCAGTCTTCTAAGGTTGATGATTCGTCACCATGTTCCATTCAGCCAGGAGTTTGTTCCTGGATATGTTCAGCTTCTTAACCTTTCTCGTGACCTAATATAAAATTTCGAAAATGAGATTTAAAGAAAATAGAAATAATTAAGGTGTGGTAAAAATAGCCTTTACAACAGTTGCATCTACATCATGGGCTACACAACGTGGTGCTTACACACCCTCGTCGACAGCTGCTTTCACATCCCCATCAACAGCTGCTCACACTTCCCCATAGACAGCTGCTTACACTTCCCCATCGACAGCTGCTCACACATCCCCATCGACAGCTGCTCACACATCCCCATCAACAGCTGCTTACACATCCCCATCAACAGCTGCTTACACATCCCCATCAACAGCTGCTCACACATCCCCATCAACAGCTGCTTACACATCCCCATCAACAGCTGCTCACACATCCCCATCAACAGCTGCTTACACATCCCCATCAACAGCTGCTCACACATCCCCATCAACAGCTGCTTACACATCCCAATAGACAGCTGCTTACACATCCCCATCAACAGCTGCTTACACATCCCCATCGACAGCTGCTTACACATCCCCATCAACAGCTGCTCACACATCCCCATCGACAGCTGCTTACACATCCCCATCAACAGCTGCTCACACATCTCCATAGACAGCTGCTCATACAGCCTCATCGACAACTGCACACACATCCCCATCGACAACCGCTCACATATCCCCATCGACAGTTTTTCATACATCTCCATAGACAACTGCTCACATATCCCCATCGACAGTTTTTCATACATCTCCATAGACAACTGCTCACACAGCCCCATCAACAACTGCTCACACACCCTCATCGACAGCTGCTCACACAGCTCACACCAGTGTGTTTACTGTGTAAATCCTCACATAAACGTAACACCAGTGTGTATATTGTGTAAATCCGCACATAAAGGTAACATCAGTGTGTATCCTGTGTAAATCCGCACATAAACGTCACCCCAGTGTGTATACTGTGTAAATCCGCACATAAACGTAACACCAGTGTGTATATTGTGTAAATCCGCACAAAAGGGTAACATCAGTGTGTATCCTGTGTAAATCCGCACATAAACGTAACCCCAGTGTGTATCCTGTGTAAATCCGCACATAAACGTAACACCAGTGTGTTTACTGTGTAAATCCGCACATAAACGTAAAACCAGTGTGTATACTGTGTAAATCCGCACATAAACGTAAAACCGGTGCACACACTGTAAATCCGCACAATAAGGTAAAACCAGTGTGTTTACTGTGTAAATCCGAACATAAAGTAAAACCGGTGAGCACACTGTGTAAATCCGCACATAAAGGTAAAATCAGTGTGTTTACTGTTCAAATCTTCGCATAAACGTAAAACCGGTGTGCAAATTGTGTAAATCCGCACATAAACGAAGAACCAGTGTGTTTACTGTGTTAATCCGCACATTAAGGTAAAACCAGTGTGTTTACTGTGTAAATCCGCGCATAAACGTAACACCAGTGTGTATCCTCTGTAAATCCGCACATTGACGTAAAACCGGTGCGCACACCGTGTAAATCCGCATATAAACGTAAAACCAGTGTGTATCCTCTGTAAATCCGCACATAAACTTAACACCATGTATATTCCGTGTAAATCCGCACATAAACGTAAAACCGGTGTGCACACTGTGTAAATCCGCACATAAACGTTAAACCAGTGTGTTTCCTGTGTAAATGCGCACATAAACGTAAAACAAGTGTGTTTACTTTGTAAATCCGCTTATAAACGTAACACCGGTGTGCACACTGTGTAAATCCGCGCATAAACGTAAAACCGGTGTGCACACTGTGTAAATCCGCACATAAACATATGTTTACTGTGTAAATCCGGTTATAAAGGTAAAACCAGTTTGTATACTCTGTAAATCCCCACATAAACGTAAAACCAGTGTGTATTCTGTGTAAATCCGCGCATAAACGTAACACCAGTGTATATCCTGTGTAAATCCGCGCATAAACGTAACACCAGTGTATATCCTTTGTAAATTCGCACAATAACGTAACACCAGTGTATATCCTGTGTAAATTCGCACATAAACGTAACACCAGTGTATATCCTGTGTAAATTCGCACATAAACATAACACCAGTGTATATTCTATGTAAATTCGCACATAAACGTAACACCAGTGTATATCCTGTGTAAATTCGCACATAAACGTATAAAGCGGCGTGTCATAAAAAAAGGTAACTTTCATGATTTAACTACAAAACATATGCAGCTCCTCATGATTGGAACATTGTATTGATACAAACATACGCTGTAAATAATGCGGTGCCTAAAGTAGTTTTCCGAGTAATATTTCCATTTGGCAAGTTGCCTTTCATTTCAAGAGTGTCTCTATTTTCGGATTTCAGAAGAGAAACTTCGCAAACTCAAGAGGAAATAGTTCCTAATTTAAAAAAAAATAGTTTTATGTTCAAGAATATGCGAATGACACATTATACGTTCAGTCAAGAGAGATCCAATCCCACGCGCCAAGTCACTTTGAAGGTTGCAGCATTGATACGAGTGCAACATCAACGGCAGAGTGGCTTCTAACAAACATGGAAAGGCGGAGAGAGAAGTGTAGAAAACCATGCACCAAGAGCGCAGTCGATAAAGTTATTATCAGTGTTCACAGATGAAAGCTAGTGCGTGACAATACGTCTTAATATAATAAGAAGAAATGCTTGAGCTTGAGGATGTGACGGCACCGACATGTGTGAATCAGGGAGGCTGAGATTGCATGGAGGCGGCGATAGATGCGTGGACTTTAATGACCTGACACTCGTGTATTGTCTAAAACATCGCGTCAGGGAAACAGCGTTTAAATACCACATGCACTCGTGGTCACATCATATGGCGGGAAAAGGTTGTGAGATGGTAGTGCGGGTTACGGAATGCTTAGGAAATGTCAATTATCGTTGAGGGGTGAGAAGTGCTCGGCACCAGGCGTTATGAGAGTTCGATTCAGTGGTCAACTGAGATGACATTCACACGGAATTGACACGACCTAATGATTGAAAACAAACGTTTTACCCTAGTTGTTATTCGGGATAGAAACAAAACAGGTCATGATCAGATATTTTTCCACTTGGCAAAACAGTTGTACAACCTTTCGAAAACTGTGTCGTACATTGATAGTAAACCCCTAAAAATAAAATTAATTCAGAAATGTTTGATAACTTATTTACAATGTAAGAATGTATTCACGAGTGAGTGAGTGAGTGAGTGAGTAGGTAGGTGGGTGAGTGAGTGAGTGAGTGAGTGAGTGAGTGAGTGAGTGAGTGAGTTTAACAGATAAACGTCCTTCATCACTTCGGGCTTTGCTCCCAAATCAAGCTGAAACGACATGATATATATATAATGTTCAAATGCTCGTTCACCAACTCATTCACTCTTTCAGTTTATGACTTATGTGACATCATCACATCACATCACACATCCGCAATATTCCAGTTGCAGCTATAGTCTATTTGGTCGCATAAAGAACAATGAAGTCATCGGAATACGCTAAAACTATGACATGGAACACCAACAGTAACAACCCCATCTTCCAGACATGTATGTTGTGTTCGGGACATTTTTATACCCTCTAATTGATTGTTGATTGTTTGTTGTTTAACGCCGCACTCAGCAATATTCCAGCTATATGACGGCGGTCTGTAAAATAACCGAGTCTGGACCAGACAATCCAGTGACTGACATCATGAGCATCGATCCACCGATTGAGATACGATGACATTCATCAACCAATTCAGTGAGTCTGACCACCCTTTCCCGTTAGTCGCCTCTTACGACAAGCATAGTCGCCTTTTACGGCAAGCATGGGTTGCCAATAACCATGGGTATATATATAAGGTGAGGTGAAATGGGGTTTGACGTGGCGTCAAGATTATTGCACTTATATAGCCACGTGCATGCACGTGTGTGTGTGTGTGGCTACTTGTGCTAGTCCGGGCTGATGCCAATTTATAGTGCTAGCTCACTGAGATACCATGCCGCAGTTTAACATGAATACCAACCCAGATACAGTATATACATGTAGTCCTTGCCTTATAATTAGCCCTTTAATGCCGAGCGCCAGGCAAGTATAAACAAGTACCATCTTTTATGTCTTTTGGTATGACGCGGCCGGGAATCGAACCCCGAACCTTCCGCTTTCTTGACGGACGGCTTTCTTGACCACTGAGACACAGTATACTGACAGGGTAACAACAAGTACCATCTTTTAACGTCTTTTGGTTTGACTAGACCACGGCGGCGGTCTGGTATACATAATGTTGTTGTTGGTTTGTTGTTTTACGCCGCACTCATCAATATTCCAGCTATATGACGGCGGTCTGTAAATAATCGAATCTGGACCAGACAACCCAGTGATTGATATCATGAGCATCGATCCACGCAATTGGGATCGATGACATGCTTCAACCAAGTCAGCGAAGCCGACCACATTTGTTCCTCATAAAGTATTTTCGTTCAAACAGCAAACTCCTCCATAACACTCAAAACATAAATTCTGATCTAGTAAGTGAAAAAACACAGCCCTAAACCGATATTATAAATACAAATACACAAATAACACTTTGAAACTATGACAGGGCTATCAGGTCTCTGATGAACAGATTCTCAGGCGTTGTGCTTATCTGTATAAGATACAACGGGACTCTTGTCCCGGTCAACAATCCTACAATCCAGTTCCGTTGTCCCGTGGTTCTACCTCTCTGTTTAACGGAAGATTCAGTGTCGCGTCAATATGCACGGTCGATCGTGTGTGAGCAGCTCATTGCGGACCCGCTATTTCCAGACGTGACTACTCGATAAAACCAAAATGAGAATAATATGTACTGCGGGCTTCTAAATTTATTTCACTAGCCTATTCTTGTATTCTGACCAGTGTTACTGTTCTCTTAATTAAATAGACACGCTGTATCGCGTGCGGCAGTAGAAACATCCGGTTGGTCGCTCGAGCGATACTGATCTAAATTATCCCTTGGATGTAAATTGTTTCAGTTCGGCTGGCGATTGCAGGACACTGGCAACACTATTGACAGGTCCTCACTCTTGTATGCTTGTGGGGACGGTCTCTGCTCGCACGTTAGCCTTTTCCCACCTTCTTAACTCTGACGGAATAAAATAGTGCTGAACAGGAAGAAATAGTGCGACAACTACTGCCACGAGGCGTAGGCGCCGATGGCTCGCCATTGGCCAGTTTAATTGCGGTGTCACATTGTATTACTACGCCGAGCCTTCAGGTTTCGTGAAGTTTAGCTAAACATTCCTTTGGTTTGGAAGCCTTGGAGTAATTCTGGCGGGAACATTCTGGGGACGCTTTTCTGTCCATTAACTCAAGTCGCGTAAGTACATGCTGTATCTTCATCTTCATGTCAAGAGATGGACGTTTCACAGTTATATGTATGTAATAGTAAAGAAACTTAGAGTAGATATAGATGTTAATAATTTTATTGCTTGGTTATCATTGGGTAAATCTCATGTACCAAGGTTAATTTTACCTACCGCTCTGTATGCGCACAGGTGATATTGCCTGCGTTTTCACACAACACATGCGCATCTAAACCTGTGATTATAATCTGCTAGTTAGGTTTACGAAGCTTGTAATTGTAACATGTGAATCTGGCAAAATTTGGCAAAAGCAGGCAACTGAACACACTTGCATAATGATTTGAATCAGAACAGTCAAATTCATTTAATTAGCTGAAGCACTTTCACATCATCCAAAATTCTTATCTTATAGTACTTATAAAAAGAACTGTATCTACTCTGACAAAGTAGACAATTCATAGATAACGTCTTTATTGTACAAGTATAGCGACGATTAGGTATAGCTCCTTGTGAGAACAGTATATGGATCTATAGCGAAACGTGTATTAAAGAAATTGTTATCTATAAATCTTGTCTGCTTTGACATCCGTCAACTTCTAAGAAATGCCTTTCAAACAATGTATTTTCTCGTGGTGATCTCAGCTCGTGCATTTTAACCACAGTGAGTACAATACATAACTACCCGAAGATGGGAAGAGTTAATTCACCGACAAACTACATGTTCCCTTATTGTGGCCAAAGTCCTTAACTATGATAATACTTTAAATTTTAATAATAATAATAATAATAATAATAATAATAATAATAATAATAATAATAATAATAATAATAATAATAAAACAATAATAATAAAAAAATAAAAATAAATTGTTTGGTTGCTAGGCAATGTGAGGAATTCTGTCTCTAGGTGCGAATGGTTAGTCTAGCCTATCTCTTAATGTATCTATAATAATATTCTATAGAATATCATGCTCAATATATCTGTCGTGATGACCTACGAATGTTATTTTACGCCGAATTAAGCAATTTTCCTGGGGGTGATTATGTTTCTAGGTTTGTCAGCACCAAAGAGTGGTAAAAGTACCGTTAAAACCTGCATAACTTCGGGCTCTCCTTCCGTGATATACCTGAAATACTGTTCAAAGGAACGCTAAAGGTAACTCACTCACTTCAGGTAGGGTTTAATGTGATATATTCATATTATCTCCCCAAGGCTTATACGACCTTAATGGATACCTAAATAAAATGTCTCCACAAAAAAATGTAGTTTTTATGACATCGATACTTAATTGAAGTTTTTATTATTTCATTTCTGTTCAATTGTCTCTAGCTTAACGAGATATGTATCTCATCTGTTGATATTCACAGATACAATATTATTCTTATTCTTATTAATACTGGACCATGGTACCTAAACACGACATTCTACCAGTTTGGAATTTTTTTTATTCTGATTTGAAGTTTTGAAGGGACACTAACCACCTATGGTCGAAACAGCTAATTTGAAAGCCGCGTCGCCGCGGAAACTGATATTTTAAGAAATGTACGTCTTTCTCGATCATTGGTTACAGGATGTCCTAAGTACAATATTCAAAGTAAGTGTGACAATAAATTTTGGCCTGAAAACACAATAGAAACCGACATGGGGATTGTATTTCAAGTTTTTGGCGAGGTGAGGTGAAATGCGTTTTAACGCCGCGTTCAAGATTGTTGCATTTATACCAGGTGTGTGTACCTGGCTGCGTGCGTGCGAGTGAGGCGATCAGTCTTTGTTAAATAGTTTTACTGCAGTTTAGCTGTGCCTGCCATATATGCGAATAAAGAAAAATGATGTGAAAAAACCCAATGTTTTAGCAAATACAGAGCCAAACTTTATTTTAAAGGCAATAACCATCGTTTCGTTAATTTAGATCCCCAACCACTCCAAACATTGCCCTCAACTAATGCCGCTTCACGTAATATCTTCTCTGACACCAAAGCGTTAGCATTCAGTTTTGTCATTGCATGCCGATAAACATAGTATGACTTGTTTGAATGCAGCTATGTTACTTGTGGGTTTAACTTCCTTAAATTCAATATTTGAAACCTAAAGCTTCTTCATTTTTATCCATCCATCCATCCATCTACCTTAACACTACAGAATACAGCAAGAATATTGCTTTAATTACGGCATAAAACAACATACAACCAAAATATACGGATATCATAACTCCAGGCTTAAAAGGTCTTCCCGATGGTCAAAACAATAATCATGATGCTGTTAAATCTTGGTTAAATAAAAGATCGACGTTACCCATCCACGAACAGTAATAACGATTTGCATACCTTAAACGTGTTGAAAATATTGCTAAAAATAATGCATTGTGTTGAATGCACAAAGGTAGGTGTCACCATGTAGAATTTCCTCACCGTCATTATTGAGGGTTCAAGCAGATGATAAGAGATAAAAGTATTACAAAACGTCGCTTTTGCAACTTCCAAGAGTGCAGTTCAGTTGATGGAATGAGCCATTTTATTCCAACAATGACTGTTACTTGTCATGTGTTGCACGTGCATTGACTAAGCTACTGGTTGCGTTCAGGTGTGGGTTTTGGGTCGCTTTTTCAATCACCTTCAATCTCGCACTTTTCATTGTTTTTAAGACCGCTTCCGTGGTCTAGTGGTAGAGCGTCCGCCCGGAGAGCGGAAGGTCCGGGGTTCGATCCCCGGCCGCGTCATACCAAAAGACGTTGAAAAGTACTTGTTGTTACCCTGTCTGGCGCTCGGCATTAAGGGGCTAAAACAAGGACTGGTCGGCTCGGAGTCAGTATACTGTGTCTGAGTGGGGTATTCATGTTAAACTGCGGCATGGTATCTCAGTGAGCTAGCACTATAAATCGGCATTAGGCTGGACAAGTACAAGCAGCCACACACACACACACGTGCATGCACGTCACTATATAAGTGCAATAATCTTGGACGCGACGTTAAACCCAATTTCACCTCACCTCATTGCTTTTAACAGTCGTCCATTTTTTCAAGTTTTATTATATTGCATTCATTCAGTTTTACCTAGGCATTAACATGTCCATCATCTGTTAATCACATTGTCAACATACTCAGACATACCCACGCTTGTTGGTGTACAGTAAACTACGGTTATAACGAACACGCTTATAACGAACTGACGGATATAACGAACTTACTTTTTAGTCCCGACTATTTGCTGTAGTTATGCTGTATATGCTTATAACGAACTACGGTTATAAAGAACTAAAATTAGTAGTCCCTATGAGTTCGTTATAACCGTAGTTTACTGTATGTTCATGTATAACACCCTACATACCTTGGTGACCCTTTAATAATGACGCTGAGTATTAACGACCAAGGGTAACTTATTAGTTTTCTGTTGATGGAAACGTATTAAAACTTAACTCATCATGGCACACCACACACCTGCAGCTGTCAGCCTGGACTCGGATCCGGGACCTACGCTGAATTAGACTTCTGATTGTGACAGTTCTTCATATTGTAGGAGATGCTCCCAATCAGATATATTCATGGTGACATTTAACGATAATAAACTCTTCCATAATCGTTTATGTCTGAGTGACATCATCTGTATTCCAGTATTTGTCATCAGAATAATTAATAATGCCAACTCAATCAACTCAATAATGGCTTCGCGTGTTGACCTTATTTGGCAGACGGGAACACAAATATTCTTGTACAAAACGCTGTTATAGTTATGTCATTGTTTTTTTTATGCTTTCACTGTTTGAAGTGTATTTGCGGTTTTGCTAGAGTGAGTGAGTGAGGGTTTCCTGACCCCATCGTAACCATGACAATTAACAAACAAGACTGAAACTTGGCGAGTCTTCTGAAGTATACACATACGTGGAGTGAATGAGTGATAATGATTTTACGCCGCTTTTAGCAATATTCCAGCACTATTACGGCGGGGGACACCAGAAACGGTTTTCACACGTTGTATCCCCATGAGGGGAATCGAGACCGGGTCTTCGGCGTGACGAGCGACCGCTTTAACCACTAGGCTACCCCACCTTACCAAGTATTGCTACCCCATTTTTTGTTGTTGTTTAACGCCGCACTCAGCAATATTCCACCTACATGGCGGCGGTCTGTAATCTAGTGATTAACATCATGAGCATCAATCTACGCAACTGGGATACGAAGACATGAATTAACCAAGTCTGACCACCCGATCCAGTTAGTCGCATCTTACGACGAGCATTGTCGCCTCTTACGGCAAGCATGGGTTGCTGAAGATCTATTCTACCCCGGATCTTCCAGGTATTGCGAGTCAAAAGTGATGATGTCTTGATAGGTATCCTTCGTTTGTTCTTGTTAAACATCAAACATCAGTCATCAATCGTAGGACTATACTACGGCCAACGTCCGTCCGTACCCCGTGAATACATACCGCCGCTGCGCGCTGTAATAGTGGAATGTGTCTATAATTCAGTCAGCTTATGCAATGAGGCTGTGTTTAACTCGAGGAAATTAAACGGGCCTGCTTCGTGCTTGAACTTTGTGTAAAAACACTATCATTGCCAGATATTGAAACTGGAGTTGACATTGCACGAGAAATTCTGTGCGATGTAATCTGAGCGCTCATTGGTCAGAGTGCTCGCTGGTCTCTCTCCCGCTTGTACCAGGCCGTGGCTGGCAATTGATTGGTTGGTTAAAAATAGCAACAACACCGCACAGCGGACGTAGGTATTCACAAGTGATGGAGGATCAGGGTGTAGACAAGCCCAGGAAGGAATGACGATGTGTCATGGTGGCCTGGAAATATTCGTGTCTTGACCAGGCTAACCAGTGATTGATATTGCAACGTTCCCGGCAGCCGAACTACGTTGGCAAGCAATGAACAGTCACCGAGCCTGACCATCCGATCTTATCGGTCTATACAGCAAAACATAGGGGTCGTATTGTTACCTGAATCTCAACAGGGTTATGCCTGAAGCAAGTCAGGCGGTTTCCTAACTCCATCGATCGCGTCATACCAATA